TGTATTGTAGAAAATTAGAAAAATAGAGAAAAATGTTGACAAGAAAAATTATGTGTAATCTCACCACATTTTGCAATGCATGGCTTACAAATTATTCTTTAAAGGACATATATTAAATGTAAACACACATATTTTCCAAATTTGGGTGACTATATATTCCACATAAAAATTACAAAACAAAACAAACAAACAAAAAAAAAATTACAAAACAGTTGGAATGCTATGACCTAAAATGATTATTAGTGGTAAACTCTGAGTGATGTGATCATGAGAAATTTTTTCTTTCTTGTAAATATATTAATCTTCCTACTGTCCTAGAAATGGTGTGCATTAACATGTTTAATTGGTAAAAGTTAGGTTAGCAATCAAATATCTAAAAACAGCATAGATCTGATAGAATTGATGGACTTTGTAAGATTCAAAGAGGCATGATCAAAAGCTGATAATTCTGGTACTCTTCTTTCAAGGCCAGAAAAAGAGTATTAAGAATTGCAAATTTTACATATTAATACATTCTACTAACAATGCTTTTATGGCTACTGGAGGGCAGAGTAATGTAGGGGACTTAAGTATTCTGAGTAGATTTCAGTCTGGAAAGACATCCCCTCTCATCAGTAAGGATTAATGGGCCAAGAGCAAGTGGTTATTAGTTTATGCTTTGTGCCCTTAAGAACCTTCTGTTTCTCCACCTAACTTATTAATGGAAATTTCCTACCCAGGACCATGTAGCCCACCTCCATAGAGAATCATTCACACTTCAGTACAAATGATACTTGTAAAGTTGGGCAGTGTGCAGCCTGTGCAACAGTACACAGCCACAGCACCCCATGTGAAAAACTCACTGCCATGCTCCTGCCTAGATAAGCCTTTCCTTCCACTTCATGTGAATTTTTATTGTCCCCCATTTTGATGATAGTTTCTTAAACTGTCTGGTCTTTTATGTGTATTATTTGTACTTGTTTGTACAATTTTTTCTTGCCTCTATGCAACTGAAGATATTTGAGGTCAGATAATATGTCTCATGCAGCAATACCATGTAGTTATAAAGGCAATAATAACAGTTAAGATAAAAAATAATGATAATACTAGATAACTTTTATTGAGTTTTCACCATGTGTCAAGCGCAAGCTACTCTGAATAGATTTTACTTAATCCAACAATAGCTGTCTGCAATAGGGACAATTAATATTTTATTTTATAAAGAAGAAAAACAGGACCCATCAAGGTTAAGCAACTTGTCCCATGTCAAACTATTAGTAAGAGTTGAATGAGTGAATGAAAAAAAAACACTTTAATGTCTTACAGACAGCACATTCTTTGGAGCCTATAATTCAATTTAAATAAATGCAGTTTTCCAGACTATAAGTTTATTGATGGTAGGATCCTTAATTACTACTGTTTGAATCCACAGCATGGTGTACTTTATATGTGCTTAATTACTTAGGGGATAAGTGAATGAATGAATAAAAAGATTATTTCAGCTGTGCATTTGACCCTTGCAGGGTCAAATTGAATGGCTTGCAGGGACAGCCTGCTCGGTACTGAGGGCTGTTTCCTTCTTTTAACCAGGGTGCCTGGAGGAGTCTTCTACAGATAAAGAAACTGAGGCTCAATTGCACTGTGATTCACCCAAGGCTACACTGCTAAGAGCAAGTGGTCACAGGATTAGAATCAAGATCTTTTAACTCCTGATTCAGAGGACCTTTTCTTATACCCTTCCATCTAGTAGTTGTCACACTGCACACTTTTCCATATACTCCATGAAATCGGGAAAGGCAAAAGGGTGGAACATGGGTCTCTTTGGGAAACTCCCCACTGATACCCTTCAAGGAAACCTCTGCAACTGCTTAGCCAACTCCTGCTTGGGCTCCCAGGCCCCACATTGGCTCTTGGAGGCTCTCCCGAGTTCCCCTCTCCCTCACTGTGCCATGCATGGCAAAGCACCACCACTCTGCCCTGGGCTGACTTGTTTGGGCACTGGGTAAGTGATGACCCAATCTGTTTCCTGGTACACAGGGAAGGAGACCAATAGTGCTCAGACCTGATGAGTTAGTGGTCCCTGCAAACCATTCTGAAGAGGGCTCTGTGAACTGGTTCACTGCCTGGTGCTCCCTCTGTGGCTAGAACCACATGTCACAGCAAATTTACTTTTTGGATCTGCAAAGTGATTATTCCTGAGAAGCTGGGGTACACAAGCCCAGTTTGGAGTGATGGAGAGTCTAAAAACTCCGATCATATTTTTTGCTAGTCTTCATCTGAATCGTATCCTGACAGGCTGCTGGCATCTTACAGGGCACTCTGAGAGCACAGCCTGATTTCTAAGATCCAAAGAAACCAAAGTATGAATGTAAGACAATACTGTTAAAGTTACCAGGTTAAAACCAAGATGGAGTCACTCATGCTAAGTCTCATATCAGCAAACAAAAACTTAACTAAGTTTCTATGCTTGGCTCTCCCAGAAAAGAAAGGCTTAGCTTAACCAACCAGCGCTTGCCTGCTCAGCACGAGTTACCTGAGTTTCCTTTGCTCCATATAAGTGGTGTAACCTTGCTTTAACCAATAAGCAAACACCCAGTTTAACTTCCTTGTTCTTGGTCACTTTGGTCTTTAAGAATCTCTCATCTTATACAGTTCTTCAGAGCTCCTTTCTATCTGCTGGATTGGATGCTGCCTGATTCATGAACTGCTGAATAAAAGTCTACTAGATCAGTAAACTGTCTGTGGAAAATTTTCTTTTAATGGTTTATATAGACTAGAGATAGAAGTTAGCCTCCATCCTCCCATGCGGAAGAGCAGATGACACTGAGAGTTTAAGCTGTATAAGCCCCGTGCCAAACTTGGGGCTTGCAGACTTATCAGCTCCCTCCAGCCCTGAGGATACTGGGTATTAGATGCTGATGTGGACAGGAAGGCACAGTGAGGACCGGAAATGGTTACCACTGGCTGTGTGTCGGGGAAAGGACCCGCACTGCAGATGGGTGTCTTTTCCACCCTGTACCATTCTTTGATTCTCCTCTTAATCCATTCTCTGGAGCTGCTCTCAGGCTTTCCTTGGCCAAGGATGAGATCAGGATCTTACTGATAACTCAGGTTGGCATGTGCACTGAAGCGGGGAGACCCAGGACAATATCTGCCTGAAACCTTGGCCAGTTCATGGTTCTTCAGTTCCATCTAGCTCTGCCTTAAGGCTAGAGATGGTACCTGACCTGGGTGGGTACTGGAGATAAGAGAAAGCAGGAGTCTACAGGTCGATCCTGTATTTGTGAGGAAAATGGATTTGTTCCAAAGCAATTACATTAGAAATCATCAAGAAGATGATGGCGCTTCCTGGAAGTTCACAGTGGCTATCCACATGTTGGCAGCAGTAGGAAGCAGGGTACAGGTACAAGCTCTTCAGGAATTCTAGATTAGCTGGTCCTGGCTCCTCCACAGAAGGTCATGTCCTCTGGATCTTGATGAAAGTCTGCTCCTCTCACTGTCTTTCTTCTGAACCCCTGCTTATTCATCCTTGTGATGGGAATGTGGCTTCCATACCCTGGGTCCATATGAGGTTTTGAGTAATCTGACAATGCATTATGCTTTTCCGAAAACTGACATCAAGAGATTGTATAAGTTTGATTCTTATGTGTATACAAGTCTTCCTGAGTAGAGCTGACTACAGGTTCAGCTTGTGAGTTTTTGGAATAACAGGTCTGAAGACCCAGCCTGGGGCCACAGTGCAAACACTGGTCCTACCAGCCATTGAGTTTCTCACAGTGACATCCTGGCTTTGCTTCCCTAAATGTATGTAACTTGAGGTTATTATTATTATTATAATTATAATAAATTAACTGACAAAGGTACACATTTCTGATCAATTCTGCATCGCCTGGGGGAGAATAAAACAGCAGAGACTTCTACCCACTGTTCCTTAGGATTTCACTAAATAGAACATGCAATCAGAAAATGGGGAGAGAAGAAGGGAGAGAGAGAAGAAAAGGGAGAGAGGAGGAAAAGCAGAGGGAGGGTGTTGGAGGGATGCTTATTTCCAGAGCAGAGTCATTCCAAGATACCATGAGCAGCAAATTAAACGATCCTTCAGCAAGAATTCTGACAAGGAAATTTCATTAGGGATTTACATCTCTATGGAAGCTCAAGTTTCTGCATTAAGATATGAAAATTGTGCAAATATTGCTCCTTAGGATAATGTTTGCTGCAGGTCACTGAGTTTCAGCCAATGAAATTTAGAGTGATAAATATCATATTGAAAATAACTAGAGGAAGGAGGGGCCTAGGAAAGGAAGGAAAGAGCCCTGCAGTTGGGAGCTCAGGTCCCAAAGTCATGTGGATTGGAAGTTAGACTCCAGCATTAACTAGCTGTGGGACCTTGGGCAAGTTGATTTAATATCTCCGAGGCCCAATTTCTTCATCTACAAAATGTGGTCATTTGCCAGTAGCTCTGCTGGACTTTGATTGTGAGGGTTTAATGAGATAATCCAAGTAAAGTCCTTTGGCCCAGTGCCTAACACATGTAAACTCTGAACACATATTAGTATGATTACAATGAATGAGCAAGGAAGTAGGCTAATGTTTACCTGGAACTGACCTCCTGTCAATCATGGTGATAGATGCCTATAGGTATTATTACTGGCAGTATACAGATGACAAGCCTGAGGCTCAGGGGCTTAATAAATCTGCCAAGATCACAAAGGAATAAATGTTTCCGCCAGAAACAGGCCCATGCTTATGTGTCTACATGTTTTTCTCCCTCACTAGCCTTGGGGGCCTTAGAGCTTAAATCCTGTTTGTACACTTCTGTACTGAGAGAATCTGACCAATTATAGATGGCCCTTGGTGGGTGCTCAGAAAATATTTGGGGAAGGAATTAATGATTGCATAAGTAAATAGATGCATGCATAGATGAATGGGAAATAAATGCTTTTACCATTTAAACTGTGTCACAGGGACTCATGCATAGGTTTCTCAATGTTTTGTTTTGTTTTGTTTTTTTCAATTTCAAGGTGTATGGTCAGGACACTCAAGGCGGCTGTTCTCTGGACATCCCCTGCGCGACTAGACTAGTGTCTGCTTCACCTACACCCTACTCACCTGACTGACGTTCTTACATACTTGCCCCAGGCTCCAGTTAATGACTGTCCTAGCTTTAGATCAGAACATCTCCACTCCGATAGCTTACCAAAGGGGCAGTGAGAAGCAGGCTGTCCCTCTGCTGGTTTCCCTGGTAACCAATGAGCCGACCTGATGTTAATTCCCCCTATAACTGGTGGCCCTGCCCCCGACCCCAGCAAAGCCTGCCACCATGTTCTGCCCGCCACCTGCCACAGATGGTGAGGTCCTGCTCCAGGACCTTGCTTCGGACATGTAAGCTTCCTCATCCATTAAACCACTGCTGTCTCTTGCTGACTCTGGGCTCGCTCTTTGGTGTTGAAGCTGGGCAAGCACAGGGCTTGCAGGCCTGTGTAGTGAGGCCCAACACAAGGAATCCTGGCATTTTGATTCACATGATGATATGTCATTTTACAGAAAACAGGATAAAAAGGAAAAATTTTCATATACTTCTATAACCCCAATACTTAAAGTTCCCTTTTAGCATTTTAGTGTTTGTTTTTTTCCACCTTTGGACCAAAGAAAGTTCTTATTGCAATCTTACATGAAAATAATTTTCTAACTTGCTGTTTCACTTAATAGGACTATTTCATACAGCTCTTATTTTAATAATTTACTGGAACATGATCGATGTGCCATATAATGTTCTACTTAAACATAATCTTGTTTTTCAGAATGTGTCTATTTTTTCACCATTGTAAGTATTGTTGAACTAAATACTTTTGTGTATGTGAGACCAAGGTTTTCAGGGTTGGTGACTCTGATCATGGGATCATTTTTCTTTGAGAAGCACACAGTCCTTATAGTGGCCCCATTCTCAGCTTTTGCAGTGATGGACTATCATATTCAACTGAATGGCAAAGGTTTGATTAGACTGTGTAAAGAAAGATTATTCTACCCATTCTGTACCATATGCAAGCCCTGTCCCAGTACCCGTACTGGACAGATATTCCACAGCTATATAGGAAAAGAGAGAGAAAGGAAGGAAGGAAGGAAGGAAGAAAGGGAGGGAGGGAGGGGAAGGGAGGAAGCATAAAGGGATGCAAGAAAATAATAAAGAGAAGAAAAGGAAAGGGGACAATAAAAGGGAAGGAAAGAGAAAGAAAGAAGGGAAGAAAAAAAAAAGGAGGGAAGCTAAGTATAATACATCAAAGTGAATAAAAAGAGAAAGAAAGAAATCAGCAAACCCACTCTTCTTTGTAAGATTTCTAGTATTCCAAATTATACGTCTCTAGCCACAACCATACCTTTTAGACATCAGCTTAGCAAGTGGCAAAAATCACAAGATAGGAAAGATTCAACACATTCTAGTAACTGCCCCCTACCTGGGAAACTCCTATAGACCAGAGCCTCACATTTCAGAGAACACAGATCATGGCTAGCTTGGTTGCTGGCTTTTAGGCAATAACCACCTTTCTCTAGGAGAGCTAAATTTGCAAAAAAAAAGAGGAGTGAATGCTGTACAGTGGCAGCTTGCCTTGACAAGATAAAACACAAGCAAACTGAATTAAACAAAAATTTCCTTTTTAAAAAATATTACATTTACCCGAGGAAACATACCTAAAAATTCAAGGGGGAAATGGAAATATGCATTTTGAAAAGGTGTTGAAGGATGGCTAAACATGGTCATTATGCAGCGATGTGCACATTCACAGACAGGGCGACCTCTGGCTGTTGTCAATGCATGATAAAGTTTATGCTATGCATGTTTGGTATTCAGAGAACCAAAATATTGCCCTTATGATTTGGAAATGTCTGTCATTATCTTCACTGAACTAAACTTCTGATTCAATAAAAGTCCCCTTTTCCTTAGTGGCAATTCAATTGTAGCAGTCATTGAAAGAGCTGATTATTTACAGATAAAGTAAAAATTTCACATTTGACCAGAATTGGGCATATTCATATAGAACATTACTTTTTACTCTGTATAGAGACAGAAACTAATGAGTGGCAATATTTTGTAGTGGCAAATTGTCTTCTTTCATGAATGGAAAACCAAATAATTTGTCATTGGTACAGTAATCGCTGATACTCGAAGAGTGTTGCTAAAAATGAGGTTTTCACAGTTGGTTTGAAAACTTCTTATATAATTTTTTATGTGTATTTCCTTACTTTAGGAAGGTAAAGGTTAATACGTTTAATATTTTCACAAATTACCAACCAGTGGGTAAGAAGCAATACGATACTATAGTTCTCATAATACTCTTTTGGATAAAAAATAAGGTCTTTTATGTTTCTATATTCTTGCTTTCATAATGGAGTGATAGTGGGGGAGTCTGAAAGCTAAGGGAGCAGGACTTGCTGCAGTTCCCAGCAGAGGGCTGTGGTAGAAATGAATCTGGAAATCAGACCCCATCCCTGGAGAAGACCTACACCTGGACAGAGACAGTTCTGAACAAACTTTGAATGTGAGCGTCTGTCCCGAGCTCCCACCCTTGGCAGCACTCAGAGACACAAAACTGAGATACAGCCGTCAGTGAGTTCGCAACTGTGGCTCAGAGTTGTATATTGTGTTAGAGACAGAAGAAAAACGCTTGACCTACTTGGATCCGATAAGATGGAATCAGTTTTCGGCAGAAATTGATCACAACGGACTCCTTGGTAGCCTTCTTTGCACCTGAGAAAAGGGGTAAACAACAAACATATGCATGTGTTTGTGAATGGTTCAAGATTTCAACAAGCAAAGTAGCCACCAATTATATCACCGTGAGAACAGTACATTCATGCTTTTGTGTGGCTTGGTTCAGTCTGTTTCTAACATTGATAGTAGGTGAATTTTAGTCATGTCTGTGTAAAAAAACAGCACCACTTTGCTTTTATAGTTTTATAGGTAATATCTAATGAGCAAACTTAGTAGCAATTTAAGATGCCCCTCATAGCAGTACGAATAATGGTTACCCTCATAATTCTGCAGGATTCTTTATGCAACACACTGGTCTCTAAAAGACTGCAAATACCCCTTCAGAAAGCATCACATTGCAAGTGTTATTTTCCTAACCAAAAATCATTTTCTAACGTGATTGATCAAATATTATCAGTAGATCTGGGCTGTTTATTTTCCTTGTGTTTTACTAGTTTGTTCATTTGCTAATTTTACCTTTTTAACTTAGCAATTCTTCCAGTCAGTGCCACCTAACTGCTGGGTCAGAAATAGCAGCATTTATTTCAGATCTGGCAAGATCTGAAAGGCATCTATCTCTACGTGCAAGGCCTCTGTGCATTTTCTTTAAACTCACATTTTTCTCTCCTCATTTTTCTCTTTTATATTCAGCAAACAGGTGCAAAGTGCGTACTTTCTGTGAGGCATTGTACAAGGCAACTTTCCTAAGGTGGGTGCAATTTGGAGGCAGGGGATTTGCCTGAAAGCCCCTGCAATGGGGCATATCGCTTCAGCCCTGCCAGTCCACAGTCTTCTCACAGCTCGCTCAACCAAGGCTGCTTGGCCGCCTCGGACAGCCTCAGCTCATGAGCTGGCAGTTCAAGGAACAAAATACAGCTGAGGATCCACACGCCTGCCTCTGAGCAGTCTCTGTAAGCAGGGAGGTGGCATTTAGTATATCTGCTTGAAGCTTAATCTCTCATGCTCAAGTTAAGCAGGAACACATCCATTGTTGCTTGTGGGATGAATCTGTCCTACTTACTGAGGAGGAAATTGTGCTGCTGGCGTAAAAATCAGATTTAAAAAACAATCCTCTGGTTGTTAGAAATCGACAAAATCAACAAAAGAATTCAAAGAGATCATTCTGTCAGAGATGGGAGCCGTGGATTCTTTCTTCAGAATATGCTTTGTTTTCTGAGTGTAATAAACACTTTATTAGATAAAGTCTATTGCAACTGGAGCAGTCACAGTGAAAGGCACGTAGGTAATTTTTCTACCTTTCATTGTGAGCTGAACTGGAATGCAGGTAATGGGGCAGGCTCTCTTTAGCACCTTTTTAAGCCTGGAACGCTGGAGTGTATTTGGCAATTTTCCCTATAGATTGAGAACAAAGACTTCTGACATATGGACACCCCAAATACCCAACAGGCTATTGAGAGAACTTGCTTAAGCAGACACATTTTTTCAGAACCTTTTTAAAAATTCATTTATTGCACTTGAAATAAAGCAGGCATATCACTGGTTCGATAATGGTACAAAGTCAGAAAATACTTAAGACTGAAGCACATTTGTGATGAAGAAGTAAATTCCTGTTCTCTGAAAGCTGCCCTAACATTGTTAGTTGGCCTTTATTCAAAATTACCTGAACCACAGTGTTTGGGTTTTCATTTTCTTGTAATGATGACTTAGGTGCTGGGTGGGTGCTGTAACATGCATTTATTTACTCCTGAGGTTTTTATTTCCAACATATGTGGGGGATTTTAAGCACACTTCAGTCTTTGTATCTTCATTTAATATGAAAGTGGTATCCTAGGGAGATAGCTGCTTTTAAGGGGAAGTGCTTTTGTTTTGCTTTGCTTTTTAAGGGTTTTTTTATCACTTAAAATGCATTATTCCGTTTGTGTGTGGAGAAGAAAATAAGGGAAGATGTTTGAAATTTTTCTAGTCTTCAACTGATTTTCCATGACTTTGAGCCCACTCTGAAGTGTTCAGGCCTCATGGAGTATCAGGAAAATTGCACAGTGTGTTCCTTCATACTGCCTTCACACCTGTGTGCTGGTATGAAGATAAAAAAGTGTGATGATGTTGGAGCAGCCTGGCCCAGGCTAGGAAACCTGCCGAGGGCTGTGATTGGCTATGCAGCAAAGCCCTGCTCCTTTGTTAAGGTGGCCGCGTCCCTGCTAATTGGTGCTGGATTTTCAGGATGACAAATTAAAATTTCCACTTAAAAATCACACGCCACCTTGATAAGTTCAAATCCATCGCAAATTTGAAGACAAAATGTGGCCAGCAGGTAAAGCCAATGAGGTGGATTGAATTTATGACACTGTTAAGGACATAAAGCAAAAGAAAAAAATGTCTAAGATGCACTTCTGTTGAACAGATTGGGTTTGGCAGACCTTCTGACAGTGTGATAAACAGCACATCTTTTGAGAAATATCATTGCATGTTTGTTTTGGTTTTTGTTAGCTGTGGGGGGATTTTGAGACTGTTCTTTAAGATTTTTTGTTTTCTGAGAGATACAGGTATATATATGAACAAGAGAAGTTCATATAACAGAAAGTTCTTTCTGTTTGTTCATCTTAATAAAGCATGACAGAATTAGTCAAATTTTACAAGTACATGTGTAATCTTTAAGGGTAAATACACGTTTGGAAAAAAAAAAGCAGAAATCTTGCGTTAACCAGGTTAAATACTCTATTATTTTTCTACTCTGCATTGCTTCAAAGCTCCACTGAATTCATCCACTGCCTGTTCTCTGAATTTATTTATCCCTGAGAAGGCTTGCATCACAGAAATTTTATTAAAAATATCAGTGTTCCCTGGTGCTCTTAACAGGTAAGTTTTGCTTCTACAACTAGATGGCCAAAGAATAGGATTAGAATAGAAAAGACAGCCACGGATTATAAAGAGTTGGGTAACGAAAATGGGAGAAGCGTTATCGACAGCAGAACAACCACAAAGTCAACTCAGTCAGCAAGAGCTAAGAATTTTATTTTGAAAAAAAAAATTAGTCTTAAATTCTGTGTGTTCACCTACTCTGAGATGAAGGGCTTGTCACTTCAGAAATCAGTAAGTTCTTGATTGTGTTGTGTGTTCTGTTTATTTACAAATTTAAAAGGCAGTGGGGAAGGGCATCATTGAGGAGACAATGTCCAAAGCAGGGTAGGGCGGATGAGGGGTTGAAGAGAGAACCGTGGTGTGGTAACCCTGAACAAGGGAAACTGGCTCCTGGCAATGAAGTGGGGTCAGAAATTGGAGATTCTGAGCCCAGTTTAAGTGTCAGCAAAGTATCTCTCTTGGTGAGCCTCAGGGCCAAATCACGAACCAGGTCCCTCCCTTTCCACAGGGATAGGGCCAGCTCTATAGTTTCAAATGCAGACCTCACTTTTTCTACTCCTTACATCCTTCTGATTTGGCCCTCATGCCCCTCCCACTTGTTCAGCTGTACCTAAAATAACAAGCCACCCCTTCTATTCATGTTTTCCCCTTCTACATCATCCCTGAAGAAAAGCCCAGTTTTAGAGAAAAGTTTTAAAAGGCAATTCTTGGGCAAAAGAAAAGAAAATAATACTGGCAAAGATAAGAAAATACAAAATGCATGACTGTCAGCTAGAAGCTAATACTTGATTTGTCTAGCGTGTTAAAGCAGAAGCAGTGAACCTAGCACTCAGCCTGGATGTAGAGGACCCCCAAGGAAGACACTTTTTTTCTTTTGCGGTACGTGGGCCTCTCACTGTTGTGGCCTCTCCCATTGCGGAGCACAGGCTCCGGACGCACAGGCTCAGCGGCCATGGCTCACGGGCCCAGCCGCTCCGCGGCATGTGGGATCTTCCCGGACCGGGGCACGAACCCATGTCCCCTGCATCGGCAGGCGGACTCTCAACCACTGCGCCACCAGGGAAGCCCAAGGAAGAGACTTTTTAAATGGTCAGCTCATTTGCTGATGTTCCCACAGAAATGGGCATCCTTTGGCCAGCTAAAAGTGGCTCCCATGGTCATCAGCCCACACTACTAACTTCAGACCATGCCCATCTCTTCTCTTACGATACTCACATGCCAATTTATTTCTCTGAACTCATTTTATGAATAGCAACAAATGAGAGCTAATATTAATGACTTTGAGTGAACATGAAAGAACTCTCACTTCTCACCAACAGCCTCCCTACATTTTCAGATTATTCTTCCATTTCTCCTGCTTCCTCCTGTTAGGAGAGCAATGCAAAGCAAAGCAAAACAAAAGAAAAACAAATACCACAAAAACTGTCCCATTGGGGGAACTATACTATCCATCCTCTCAATCCTCATCTGTTGATTCCCTGGTCATTTACTCATTACTGGAAGATGTGATCATCGCCCCCCCTCCTTCTTCTCCATTGCTACTCTGTCTTCACTGTCAGTCTCTGTTAACTACATGGATGCTCAGCCAACACAATGTCTCTTATCACTTCTTCCTCAACTATATCAGAATGATTGACAGTGTTGAGTTTATAGCCTCACTTCTTCACTTAGTATTTGCCATGGATATACTTTACGCAAACCTTTTAATATCCCTGTTCCCCACTTTAAACCCGAACAAAATGGGAATGATACCAGGAAGGAGAAAAAATGAACAAGCACGCGTGGTTGATATTACATACATGAATTTTGGCCATTCTTATGCTTAGGGACCTTCTACCTCACGTATTTGCAGAGATGCATTTTACATAATTTACAGAGAGAAATAATATGGAGGTTAGAAAAATGTTCAAATGTTTGCTTCAATCCTGGTGTAGGGCCTGGTCTCTGCGTACATTTTAGAGAAAGTATACACTCTTCCTTCTTGGAAACTTGATTTTAGACATAAAATTCAAACTAGCAGAAATCAATTAACTTCACAAGAGAAATGGTGGCATAGACCAAAAAATGGCAGAGTTACTCTTTGGTGTTACAGGAAAGTAGACGCTTCGTCAGCGATATACAAGTCTGCCAATTTTAAGGGGCCTATTAAATGCTGATTTGATAAAAGAACAATCCCT